GATTTGTGCGGGTTTTGACCAACATGGAGTTCGACGTCCGATTCACAATTAGATAATTTTATACAATTTATGTATATCAAATATGTATTGCAGTTCTTATTTGGTTGTCATTCAGCCAAGGGAGTTTGGGAAATCCTCCTCATGCAAGTCCTTGTTTAATTCCTCAATTTGTCCACATCCTCACATCCATTCCCGAGGCAACTCCAGGCCCTACCGGTACCGGCTTCGTTTGGGACGACAGCCATGCTGCTGGGCCAAGACGACAGCTCACGGGTGGAGTCAAGTCACAACGACAGGTGGGGCAGCGCCTCAGCATGAGACTGGGTGTTCTCCGAGTCTTAGGACCCATATCGGTTCTTCAGGACCCATACAGAATCCGATCAACACATTCATCGGTTTTTGAACCACGTTCAGCGCCGAGCTGCTCTCCTGGTTTTTGGTCTTCGACCTCTGGTTTTGAACGTGTTTGAGGCTCAAAACCTCACCCCTCCTGAGGTCGTGACGAACTTTCACGTGGTGAGTGAGCTCAGCAATCCCCATGTGACCTTCTTGCGCAAGGCGCCCTTTGCGTTTCGCCCGCTTGCTTCATATAGGCCCATTTCGCCGCTCAAACTGGGACTGCCTGGGCAAAGTTTAACTGAATCCATGGGAGAGAGGGTTCCTCAAAATCGTATTCTCTTCTGTGAATCACCCAATATGCCAGAAATCAATACGCATGTGATGACGGGGACGGCATGAGATGACTTCCCTCGGCATGATTCTGAGAATGCGGTGCCAAGCTTTGTGCAGGGCGAGAATGGCGCAGATGAACATGTCACTGTCGGTGCCAAGCTTTGTGGGAAGCGGGGGTGGGCCCCCAATCCACCACTGTGACAGTTGGTAAAAGTAGTCTATATAATTGTATGTTAATGTTCTGATATATGTGTTGACTCCAGCTCCCTCTTGCCCGTGGTCGTCGTCGTCGTCCTCCTCCTCATCATCATCACCATCACCATCACCACCACCACCACCACCACCACCACCATCATCATCATCATCAACAGCGACACTCGGAAGCCAATGCAGTGGCGCAGGTGTCCCAGGAGGTCCCAGGTGACTTCCATGTGATGCGTTTGCCAGTTAAAGTACTTCCGACTATCGACCTACCTTACCGTGGGATCAGTTCAAGCACTGAAGTCGTGGGGAAAATCCGAATCCTGTGCCCCACTGGTCATCGAGTTCACCAAGTTTGTATGAGGAAAAGAGGTTCCAGGGAATCCCAAGGTTCCATGTGAATCTTCGGAGTCTCGTCCCCACATGTTCTCATTGATGAAGATGTATTTGATGAAGTGGAGCCGCATCAAAAATGCAGGACTTTGCTTTGACGTTGCCATTTCAGGATCTTCCTTGAGCTCATCTGAGCAAACAAGCGTCGCTCCTGGATCCTGAAGCAATAAGATTGCCAGCCTGTCCAAGACACTTTGAAGCTCCTCCAATGCAAAAATCTTTAGAGCTCCTGCTACACAGCAGACTCCAGTGACTTGTCACCAGCACATCCCGCAATGAGAAAGCATACGGATCTTCAAATGAGAAAGCGCATGGCCTCAGCTGCCTTTTGCTTGGCACTGCTGGCTGGAAGTAAGGTGCGCCCCGAAGTCAGGATGCATGTGAGTGTTGATGCATGTGATTGCATTGTTGCAATGTTTTAACCTCTGGTGTTTTAGGTGTGTTTGTGGATCAATCTCATTTTTCCGCATACGTTTGGACACCACCATCAGCTCGGTGCTGAACTCGTTCTGTGGAGAGTCGTTGCATCACATGTCGACCAGGAAATCCCAGTGCTCAATCCACCAAGCTTTGCGAATCGGGTGATGTTGATTTGTTTCCCGATGGGCAAATCCCGCGGCATGGGGATGTTATTTTATAGTGCTTTATATGTGTTTTGTTTATATTGTTTCATGTTGTTTTATTCCTGTTCTTTATATAAGCAAATCCATGGTTTTTCTATCTCTTGTGGTGAACGGTGCTTTGGAAGACGGGATTCACTTCCTCTGGAACCAGGGAACGAGTCTTTGACGTGCAAAAACCCAACGTGCGTCCTTGGGTCGACGCGTGTCAGTCCATTTGGATACATACAGGATTGTCCTGGATTATAATGCATGTAACAGATAAAAGACAAGCCTGAACTGGAAAGCACGGGTGATCTGCCTTTCAGAGATTCACAGTGCAGTCTGGATTAAATTACACGCAAAACACATGCAACTCAGCTGCTTCGTGCTGCCGAACCGGGCCGCCCGTGTTGGCGAATGTGAGGCGGAGGCGCCTCTGCCCAGCGACGAGTGCGAGGTGTGGGAGTTTGTCACGGTGCCGTGGTCGACGTTAGCACGCAATGATGTGCGGCAAGAAGTCAGAAGCGCCTTGTACTCCACCATCTGTTTGAAAGACAGGTGTACCGAGTATACCACTCTGACTTCTGGTTGCCGCAAAGGATTTCTTTTGATCTAAAAACAAGACAGGCGACCCTTTTTTTCCAGTGCGCACATGTTCTCCCACCGTGGGCCGCATGGATGGTGGCCCCCGTGGCACCATGGTCCGTGTTTTGGTTGCTGATTTGGCCGCCAGTCTCAGCCATTCTCAGCCTATAGTTGGGCGCAACAAAATCGGGTGATGGAAAGCTTCAGCCTGCCGGGTCCTCGTGCTCGGTGAAAGGGCCTGAGCCTGCGAAACTGACGCACCAACCACTCGGGGGGCGAAGCATGGGGCGTTTCTGGCGGTTCCTGATTCAGTGCCACGGAAGCGCCCGATGGGGCGGAGTTCCTGCCACCTCGCAGGCCCTTGGTAGTTTGAACTGCAGTGCCTCAGGCTGCAGATGTGGCAAGGGTGTGGAAGTAAGAAAGTCCCGAAAGTTAAAATACATATATCCCAAAGAACTGGATTGATGCAAATCACTTGATGCACATAATTTGACTACAGCCATGGTGCATTGGTTCCCCAAATCATTTCTTTTGGTTCGGACACTGGGCTACATCCATGATCTGTGAGTCAAAAAAAACAAGGACAAGACACCATGGGCGACATCCCAAGTCGTCGACTAGTGCTTGTGGCTGGGTGTCACACCAGCGACATCCAGCGACGAACTCAGGGGTCCCCAGGCCGTTGGGCTGCCCTGAGGTTGAGGACTGGCATCAGGGCAGTGTGGGTCAAACTGGGTTGAGCACTTGACATCTTAAAGAGCTGGATGCCCAGCTGGGTCCTCCAGGCAGACAGCTGGGTGTCATACTGGACCCCAACATCAAACCATGACCTTTGCGACCCCAGTGACACACCTTCGGTTCGCCAGGGCTGGATCCTTTGTACGGTAACATGTTGTAACCACCGGGTAGCAGAGCACATACATGATTTATCATGATATATACATATTAAATCAATCATTTCATCTCATGTCCCATTCACGAGGATCATTTCCGGGCCTCCCATGCCAGAGAGACCCATGGTGAAAAGAGAGTTTGTTCCCGAATCTTCTGAACAATCTACCCAGCTACTAGTAACAAGAAGCTACGAACGGTGCTCCTGGCCATACTACTAGGAGCGATCGGACGCCACGCACGGGGCTCCTGGCATCGCTTCACAAAGGTGATGCGATGTCTGAAGAGACCCTCTGAGTCTTCAGACATCTGTGGGTTCAATCCGACTCAATCAATCCGAGTCAATCAATCGATGTTTCAGTCACTGAAACATAGAGCTGCAAGAATCTCCCGGCACATGCAGTTGTTTCATTCCTCTTTCGACAGGTCCTCCAATTCGTCCCTCATTCAGTGAAGTTCTTGAGGCCTATCTTTGCGACAGCTCAGGGCCAGTGCCCCAAGTCTGCTCAGCTGCAGGAAGCGTCGGGTGTGACTCTTCCGATGCCCAGGGCTTCCCACCCGACCAAGCCCACAGACGCTTTGTGGTTGCAGACCACCCCATGGTGACGTTGCAGAGTGTAAGTCTTGCAGCCGTAGGCTGTTTGTCAAGCTTTATCAAGGTACGGTGGGATCTCAGGGATAGACTATGTTGTAGACTCGGAAGAAGTGGTGCAAACCCATTGGGTTCTCAGTCGACTTTGCTTAGATGGGCTCCGGACTTCACATGGGTGTTTGAGGAACAGCAAACATGGTGCTTTTGCCAGAATGAAGACATTTCAAGAGACACATCAAATATCATCAAATGTTGGAAACACGAGCTCAATGTTGGGCTCCCAGACTTGCGTTATTTGTTTGGCAGGTTGACTGTTTCATGCCTGAGGTTGCGTAGCCCTTGGATGTCATGGCAGCTATGTTTCTTGGAGGAAACTTTTGCACTTAGAGAGGGAATGTTTGGGATTGAATGCACAAGATTTCCAGGAACGAGTGATTGACCTGAAGATCTGGCGGAAAAGAAACGGCATGGGTTTGCCACTTGAGTGCAGCTAGCTCCCGTGGAAGAGGATTGATGCAGTTCATCCTCCTCGGGATCAAGGGACCCGTTAGATCCTGTTAGTAAGTTCATTTTTGTCCAAGCAATGCACTTGCAGTATGATCGAATGTCATAAGTTATAACCTAAGGCTGCCTCCAAAAGCTCCCCCAGGCTGTTGGAGACCCCATGACAAACCAAAGATGATCAAAGATGGAAGGGGGGGGGCAGTTTGAGAGTCAAATTAATGATCGTCTTTCATAGGTCTTTGAAGATCCTGACCAGACTTACCAGATCCCAAATCTACTTGGACTTGAACTTGAACTTGGTCCAGCCCCCTTCCAACTCGACCCCGTTGGAAGGCCGAGGCTTGTCTCCGGATCCGCCCCAAACAGGTGAGAGGACGATCCTGTCAGTGTACTGCTCAATGTGATCGCCACGGGCATCTCGGCGGACCGGACTGGTCTCTGGTCAGCGGTCGATGGGAAACTCGGGTGCTGGTCGGCGAAGGACTCTCCAAAGACCCAAAAAGCATACCAAAAACATACCCAAAACTAAACACTGAATGCTGTATCACCATGTTATTTGTACTTTCTTCTCCGAGTGAGGGCTCAATTCTTCCCTGGCTCAATTGGTCTCCGGTGCGATGAATTGAACATAATTACGATGCTCCCAGTCTCTCCACCATTCCAAAAGCTCTGCGCGGAACTCATGGAACATGTAGCGATGAAAGCTGGTGCAGCGCCTACAGCGCTCAGGAATTGCTGCCCAGACTACAAGCAGTATTGTTTGATGGCAGACATCCCGTCCCTTGGCATACCTCAACAAGAGCTGGTCTTCATTTTTCATCCCGCACATTTCGGACTGACATGTTTAATTGATTTTGTAAAACTGAATGGACTTATGCTTGTTCTGCATGCTGGAATCATATATGCTTGGAAGTGGTTAGGAGGAGTTGTGTAGGAGTTTGGAGTTGGGAACTTCGAGAGGCCCTGGAACATGGCAAGATGATAGCACTGGCTGTACTTGGTTAGTGTTTTTTTTTTTCCGGAACATCCACCTTGCCTGGCAAGCTCACCAGGTCACCCAGGTCGGACTCACCCGGTCTGTCGGACTAGCCTCTGGACCAGCCGACCTGAACACGGCGGCCTGGACTCGCCCCCCGTTGCCCACCCCAAACGCCCACCACCAGCGGTGAGAGCAGCGTTCGGGAGGACTTGGAGCGCCAAGGCTGACTCGACCTGAGGCCTGAGACTGAGCTCCAGCTGCAGAAAGTGGATGCCTTCTTGGAGGAGCAACCACGCCAGAGCTTTCTGAGGCGCAAAACGGGAAGTTTCTCTGAGCTTTTTAGGAACTAGGAAGGCACAGAGAAGGCAGGTGAGCAGTTCCCATTCAATCACACCCAATGGGTCAACAAGGCCAACAAAATCTCCCTTTCCCTTTCGTTTTACCTTGCTTCCGGAGCTCTCGCCAGGCATGGTGGACTTTTACAGACCTTTGGTTCTTCTCTGGGTGGTGGCAACTGTGGTGACTTGTGCACCTTGCCCGCCACTGGGCGGCACAACCATCGCTGCAAGGTTTGTTCGATCGATGTTCCCCCAGACATGAACAGTTTTTTCCCAAATGCGTAGCGAAGTGTTCTCGTTTATAGTGGGGGTGTAGGGGTACCAGTGGCAGACTAATTACCCCTGGTAGACCACCACTGGCAGACTACCACTGGTAGACTACCACTGGTGAGCGACTACCACTGGTAGACTACCACTGGTAGACTACCACTGGTAGACTGCGCAGGGTAGATTTGAACCACCAATGCCTTCTCAACTTCTCAACCCTATCGATACAAAAGCTTGACGACTCTGGCTAAGGACAATTGGCCCCATGCACCTATTTAAAAAAAGGGTGGCGTAGCAATGTTGTCTAGGTTTTGCTCGCGCGCGCACTGGTAGACTACCACTGGTAGACTAGACTGCGCAGGGTAGATTTGAACCACCAGCGCCTTCTCAACCCTATCGACGCAAAAGCTTTTGGACTGTGTTCGCCTCGCGTGCTCTATGTCGTCGTTTGTCGTCGTCGTGGGGTGCGGTGAGGGGCGCTGGGGTGATCGGTTCACTTGCCTTGCTAAGCATGTCGCCATGCAGTTGTCCCCATTGGTGGCCGATCAAAAATATGTTCAGTGACCTTCATGAGTTGCCCCCCCCCCACGCTGACCTTAATTAGATCCGATTTGGATCCAATAGTTGATTTTTTTCCGACATGTTTTGTTAAACCTGTTTTTGCTGTTTGGGTCGACCTGCGTCAATTGTTTCAAGCTTATTCTTCATTGTTCTAATGCTTTTGTTTGCCCTTCTGCGTGATGTTTTGCTTGCGAGTTGACTGTTGCAGACCTCATGTCCAATCACCCATCGCCATCTAGAAGGACCATTCTTTGTTTGTCGAACCACCCAAAAGATCGTTTTTCGCCCACATTGCACCCCCCGTGCTATCCAAAAGCAGTCACTCAAAGAATCACTCGACTCAAGGGGCCCTTTTCGGAGTGGGTTATGGCCTCTCACGGTGCGTGGCGCCTCTCTTCTACTTCCGGTCGCCGCGCGCCCTTCTGAGGAGCACTGTCCGGAGTTTGGTAGCTCCAAGCGCTGCCGCTTTGATGTCTATGACAATGCAGTGGCAGATGCTTGGCTGCGTGCAGGATGATCTTATAGCCTGATGTGCAGAGTCTGTTTCACTGACTCCTCGAGAGCGGAGTGGGTTTGGTGTACATTAGGGTGGTTTCAGAAGTTTCAGTCAATAGAGAGGTATATTCATACAATTTCATAATTTCTGATCGACTGTCAGTTTTTGATTATCCTATTTTTCAAGCTCCCTTTGTGATGAGGGTGTGGCACTTGCCCATGTATTGGCCTTGCCACCATAGATTTCGATTGATCCAGGATTTCATGGATCCATTAAGCCCGTGTCTGAGGCGATTTACTTGACAAAGCGTGGAAAGATTGAATCTGCTCGAAAGATCCTTGATGCATTTCTCCACTTGCCTCTCGGCAGCGAAAGATCTGGGCCATGCACCAGGCCTCTTGGGATGCCAGAAAAAATCGGCAAGAAACTGCTGTACCCCAAGTGTGTTGTGAACCAAGCACCGTCTTACCGGATATGGCACCATAGGGGAGATTGATTCCTGGGACTGTTTACATTTTGCATGGACGAAGATGGTGTGCTTTTGGTTTGTCCCAAACCATGGTTCCCTGCAGACTGGATCTTGGAAACAGTCACAAAACAACAGCCGTCACGACATGACGGTCAAGATTATATGTAAATGATGAGCACTTGCTGCTGACGTCAGAAAAAGAGTCTCACTTTGAACAAGTTGTTTGGAGATGGCTCAGTTGTGGGGTTGTGGGCCATGGCACCCGTTTTTTTTGTTCATTGCTTATATAGGATGACTCATCCAAATCGATCAGTTCTTCCACGACTTCCCGCATGTCAGGCAGTATACGTCCCCAACCTCCAACGTCTCGCTCCCGCGCATGCGCGTGCTTGCGAGTGCTGAGTGCCCAAGCAGCTGCAGGTTGTACCCGCCTCTGAAGATTCCACACGTCACTTTTGGACGCCGTGATGGGCTTCCATCAGGCGCACCTAATGTGGATGGGGCATGGGATGTGGTGAAAGTTGAAAGAAAGGTTTTTTGGGGGTATAAGTTTGCAAAGGTAAAGCCAGGGAACGTTTGGACCCGAGGTTTGGTGTCAAACATAATGTGTGTATGTGTGTGTAGTCTGTGTAGTAGTGTTTTGGGTAGTTTGGAGACTTCCTTACCCTATCTTTGCTTGCTTTTGGCGAGCCGTATTCCTCCAGTTTCCCCATTTTGTAGTTAACTACTTGACCCCACATAAACACCACCATTTGCTTACTTACTCGTACGATCAAGGAAGCTGGAAGATGGTAGGCTGTTTGGTAGCTCACGGTGGACGCTCGACCGTTTCTTCCCTGACAGAGTGGCCTGTCGCAAGTGTTCAGATATGTTCAGAATATTTTCAGATAGAGTGTTTTGATGTTTTTTTCAGTTTGTCTTCTATTTGTCAGACATGAATCAAACATAGGGCTTGGAGATTGGCTCATACTGACCACCCACTTCTTAAGACGACGCCCAAAGGGCCCAAAGGGCCCAAACCGGCGCCGCGTTGCGTTGCCAGGCAGATGGTTAACCCTCATTGGCTCGTCATACACCGACTCCGAGGCGCCGAAGAAGAAGATCGAATCGTCGGATCGAGTCTGGATTTTCAGAGACTGGGTTTAGACTTTTTATGATCTTGGTTTAGACTTGATCAAGAGCACATGGATCTTGGTTTAGTCTGATTTGATATGATTTTTTTATGATCCATGTGCTTCTTCGACGCCGGTGCGTCGCAAGAGAAACGATGCAAAAAAAATGCCAAATAAAAGATCCATGTGCTTTCGAGGATTCTAGGCAATTTACAAGCTGCAGACAGATTGTTTGGTGCCTCTCAAGCAGCGATGCAGGAATTCAATCAACGCCTCGAAGCATCAATCAACCGCAGATGCTGTTGGGGCGCGCTGTTGATCTTGTCGATCCTGTTTTTGTTGTTACATGTTGTGACATGAGTTGTGGATCTCAACCGGAAAGGGGTTCGGAGTTCAACAGTCAGTCTATCCTTTCAACACACAGCGGTGTCTCAACAACGCCTGGCTACAAAAAGGAAACACGGTCGGATGTCGTCATCCTTCCACACGCATGTAGAGGGAACGTGCGCAAGTCTGGCGCATTTTAACCACGTTGGCTTTCCAGAATGCAACGTTTGCATGATCTGCGGGCATGCTCCAAAACCCTGGCAAACGATAGGGGACTCACCAAACGCACATCATCAATTTTGACCGTACCTCAGGTCTTGCAACAGTCTCATAGCATCGATTGGGGTTCGAGACCCCTATCACACCACGGCCACGGCCACGTTCGTGCGCGGTGCGCGGAAACGGAGAGCAGGTGAAGCCCGGAATCTATTGGGGCAAAAACGTGGTGGATGGCGGAGTCGACACAGGCGAGCCGGTGGACAGCTGTGGAGCTGACATACCAAGCGACCAGCTGAGTGAAGTAAGGTGAGGTGAGTGGGTCGAGGTGGTGTGTTTGAAGTGATTTACAAAAAGCACAGGTCTGACGAGTTGACGAGCACAGCAGATGCTCCAAATCCGAAAGATTTCGCACATCTCCAGCTGCTTCCAAGGGGTCACCAATGGATATCTCCACACTACTTACAGGTCTCCATTGGGCACCTCTTGGAAGCGCTAGGCGCGTTCAATGTCTTTTGGGATGGTTTGGATTGATGATTCACACGCAGAATTTGAGAGCAAACTGTGTGTCATTTTAAATGTTTCTTGCAAAGTACTTAGTATCAGTGTAACCTTTGCATGGCACAGCCCAGAACAGCCGTTGCAGATCTCTTTTCACCTTCTATGGAATTTGGTGGGTCATACCAGTGGAAAACGCATCAACCTAATTGAATCATAGACGGAATCATGTCCGTCGTGGATGGCATGGCCAGTTGGATGACCATTCTTCTGAATACCAAACAGGTGGTGTCAGCTTCCATTATTGTATATTCCAGGGAGTGTAAGAGTACCACCAGTTCCGACTTGGGACCCTCTGAGGGAAGCCCCAACAGTTTGAGGATGATCTTGAAGGTCACGACTGTCGTGCTGGGGTATGATAGGTTGTGTTTCATGTCTCACGGATGTGTCACCTTCCTGTTAGAAGATGTTAGAGTTGATGACCAAGAAGATCCAAATAGATCCAAGATGTGCACACTGAGAATCAACGATGATCAGGAATCAGGACGTTGATCATATGTTGGGTTTGTCCTATTACCTGTAACAGTCAGTACACAACTATTACTCTTTTTGAACAAGGCCAACCAGGCCCCATCATCCACTAGTTACAGGTAGACTCGGATAGACCCAGTCCTTGCCCGGAGTCCTGCTACTACACCGTGCTGACACGCTTCGGAGTTGTGAGACCGGCGGTTCATTCAAACCGGCCGAGTCCAGACGAACGGGCGGCAGGCAACAACGCTTGGGTTGGTCTTGCACTGGCACAGTTTGCGGCCGAGACCGGCGAATCTTGCTATTTGGTTGGCCTGGCCTGGTTTTTTTTCTGGTTCTTCGCTTGTCCTGCAAGGTCGATGTTGCTTCGACCGACCGGGTCATGGCTTCGTTGCAACGTATCTCTGGAGGTCTAAGTATCGCATTGCGACCCGGCGTGCTATGACTTATAGCAACAGGATGCAAAAGGAACGTATTCCAGGACCCCCGTGGCACGGGGGTGTCTATTAGTAACCCGGAGGTGATATGACTATAGGGCTCCAACCACATCCTCAGAAGGTAGCTAGACCCCAAAAACCTACCCCAACCACCTTCGTTTCACGGAGGTGGTTGGAGTTGCAGGGTAAGGGGTGTCTATGTTCACCACCCAACTCCCATGAGTCCTGGTGGTCGAGCTTGCGGGTCATACGACTCATCGGTCGTGGGGTCGTGAGTGCCTCGGTGGTGGTCGTTGAAGGATGACAGAATCACACTGGTCTGGGGGGGGATTTGGCATTGGTGATGCCTGAATCGTTTTTGTGTTCATTTGGCATTGATGAAAGGTGATGCCCCGTTTCGGCTGACAGGTCTGCAGGTTCGGTTCTTCCCAACTGCTGCTGTGTTGAAGCGGGACCGACCTCCTTTTCGCCCAGCTTGAGGGAGGTTTTGCAAGGTTTTGCCCCAAAAGACCATGATGATCCATGGTGATTGGCAAAAGCGCCAACGACCACTGAGATCAACATGTACCCTTGCACTTGTCATTGAGTTGTATTGTTCTCTATGTCGTATTTGCCAATACAGCTGACTACGTAAATCCTGTATACATGACTGCTTGCGGATGTGGATTTGGATGTGCATTCGAGCACTGCAAACATGCCTGTCATGACGATTGTTTGAAGCGTGGTCCTATCCTGAAGAAAAGCGTCCGAACTCCATCGACCTTGAAATCTCATGTTTGAAGTTCCCAATGATCCAGATGAAGACCAGGCTGAAGGCGGCCAACGCTTTGGAGGACAAATGATCAACGCTGGAGCAGCACGCTACCGGAATGAACAATTGGGTGTGTTTGCGCCATTTGGCACCCTCAAACAGATACGTGATGGAACACTTGAGCCATAGACATGTACGACAGGTGGACGATGATCCTCAAAAACAATGTTTGACTATTTGAGATGTGAGTGTTCACACATGCTCACCTGCAGCCCAGCCTTCAAAGAAAACATATTATGTGCCTATCAAGTGCCTATGGCCCGCAGATTTCAACACCCCACCCCAGTGCCTATGGCCTACAAGTATGTTTTAAAGGGAGACACAACACCCCCTGTGGAACCTCCAATCTATCCGACCGATCCAGTGAACGTTCGCGGCGACGAATCGGACGTGGACGCTGCCAGGTCGCTGCGCAAGACATCCTGACGGCCCTTAAGAAGGGGGCTGATTGCGATGACAAGCTTTTGGGCTATATGGCCAAGCTCAGGTGTGGTGGGTCAACTGCGAGCGCATTCACGGCAGTCATAGTTTCAGTCACAGTTTCACTATGTTTCACTTGTCAAGGAGTATTCTAGACATTTCTAGACGTGCTTTGTTTGGCACTTGGACAGGCTCTAGTCCGAGGATCTGTTCCACGGACTACAAAGAGACCTAAGAGAACAGTACCCCGTCACCCACCATTTGACAGGGAGTTTGTAGGAACTTCGGGATGCTGGTTGATGCTTCGGGCGGAATGTGATCCGTTCGGAATGGCAACTGGGACGGTCAGACGAACGACGGATTGCCCGGACGCGTCGTTCCTTCTGTTGTTTTGGTAGCAGTAGCACCAGGTCATCCCCACCCGGAGTCGCTGTGATGTGTGATATCTCCTTAAGTGGCTATAAAAAACCCCTTTAAAGGCTGCCTTTCTTTCCACCTGGGCGGAGTCCTCCCCCCCGCCCAGCCTTTCTTTAGCCTCACAACCACACACCCCACGCACCTGTTCCACCCACACTGTGAAATGGCACGGCGCACGGATGTCCGGCGATCGATGAGCTCAGCCTGCGATGGTCCAGGCCATATCCAGCCAACTACCGCTCCACAGAGCCGCTGGGAGAGCGCAGAGCGAGTCATGCGGGACGTGGGAGCGAGTTCACGTGATCACGTGGGAGGACGTGGGACGACGTGCAGCAAAAACGCTGGTTGCGGCACGGTGCATGTAACGAATGTTAGACTGCAGTAGATACGTACATGATCGTACATCTATGAATTATAGTGTTATAGGTTCATTGACATGACATGTTTGACTTGGTGGATTAATCTCTACCGTCTTCTGTTTTTGCAGATGACTGATGACTGTTCTGTTTGTTTGACTTGTTGATTAATACTATACATATTAATACACAACCCTCCTATGATTATGGAGATGTTTCACATGTTTGATGGGGCGATGCATCCGAAATGACGGCGACCCGATGGGCACACACACGCGGTCGTCCACCAGAACACCCTGATACACCATGTCTCCGATGCTTCAATCGAACGGAAGCACGGTGTCCACGTCACGCGGCGTCCAACGGAACCAGGCACAATATCGACGTTTTTGCCCTCGCCAAGATCTTGGGAGACGAGGAGAGCACAAATCAAACCACGCGGTGAGGTCGGTCGCGACAGATAAACGCTGTATTGCTGATGAGATGACACGAACTGCCAAATCTGATGGCGAGTGAATCACGCGTGAATCACTTGTCAATACAATATGCAATGCTCACTTGTTTTTTGTTACGCGCGAACATGTTTGCCATTCTGTTTGTAATCATTGATGCATCTATTCTATCTCAGGTTGTCATATCAGTGACAAAGGAACAGCGCCAGGAATGAAACTGGACATGTTGGACCATGGCCATATGACCGCGATTTGGTCGAAGTGGTACCCAAAAAATCTATGTCTCCGGACCCACGTGTGAGGTTGTGAGAAAGGTGAAACAGCCAAGGGAAAGTTTTCTTTACAGAGACGCCTGGCAGGGTATTTTGTTCTATGCGTTGACCCTTAAAAGCATCCAATCTACGCGAATCTTCCTGTCCCATCAATGGTTTGAGGGTTCACCAAAGTAAACCAACTTTTTTGTGGTGTTTTTGAAACAAACACACCAAGCTTGCCTGTTTCTTCCCAGTTGCTCTGGATGATTATTATCACCACCGGCTGCTATGCTACCGGTTTTGCTACAGCCGAATTTGGACATGAGCGATCACCGTCCAAGAAGACAAGTTGCTAACTATATGATTTGTATGTCACATGTCAGAGCTTGCAAGGCTTTTTTTTGTGATGAACAGACATAATACCGAACCTGTAATATGTTTATATGCTGCACAAAAAACATAAACATACTTTGGGTTGCATTCAGTGCCCTTTCTGACCATCCAGGATGCCATGAACCGTGCGAGAGTCTTCGTCCAAGAGATGTTTGGCCACAATGAGAGGTGCTGAAGACGTGCACGATGTTTCTGTTCTGGGAGACTTCTGCTGAATACCAAAAGTTGCCAAAGCAGCTTGTAAAACTGATGTCCATTCCCCTTTCTGGTTGTTTCATGTCGTTTTTGGTGCGAATCGGTTTGACATAGTACGAGGTTCTCATCCGAATTTAGAGGACAGATGTTTTGTTCAACAAACCATTGTGCATGTCTCAGGGCCAATGCAACTAATTACACCGAAGGGCGACGCTGTTGGATTGCTACAGTAGTCAAGAGACATCAAAGGGGGCTATATTCCGCATGGCAAGACGCTCGCAGCTTTTGCGTCCCACAATACACTGCTGCTCGGCACTATATTGAAAAGACAAGTGGCGAGGAACAGTAGAACGTCGCGATCAGGCACCCAAGTGGCTGGTCATATTGCCATGCTGATGTGCTTTTCCTGCACAACCATCGAAGAGCCTCCAACAATGAAGCAAACAAGCCTTGACATCAGTTCTATCTCTTCGTGAGGATGTCATGAAACTTCTTTCAGATTATAGCACTGATGGCATTTCCTGGTTTCTATGTCGTAGTGCCATCATATGAATTCAAATGTTACACCATCAACAAACTTTTCGTTCAATCCTGAATCCTGGACACCCGTTGTTTGCTCAGTGGGAACTTCAGAGAGCCCGGTGCCATTACGCATCTGGCAAAACGCCCCGGACCTCTGAACGGTCCAGGTATCCCAAGAGCTTTGCCATGGGCACCGATGGGGCGGTTCCCTGCGACACCAGCACCATGAAGACCGCCATCCCAGCGGATGCGCAGTGGCCCGGCGGGAGGATCAGGTCCGCGGAGACCCGCGGCGACTGGTCTTCTGCTGGCCATTGGGATGTGTTGTTGGGGTGGGCGGGCTGCCCTGATGGGTGGCAGTGGATTCACGTTTGACGATTCCATGGAAAAGATAACTGCTACCCAACTCTGCGCCGGAACTTGTTCACCCCCTGTATGGTGAGTCAACATATTCTTCAACACCCTTCACAACCCGTGCAAGCATGCATATATACATACATCATTATGTAATATATGTTTATAATATGCATATGTTAATTTGTATTATTCATCATATTCCATTCATTGGAGCCTGGAGCATGTTTCCTGAGGTTTTGGGCTTTGCTGGCCGGCGTTGAGAACACCAAGGAACGCCAGGCATTTCGCTTTTGTTTTGAGGGCGGCGAGGGTTGTTTTTTGGGGCTATCAAGGGGTGTTTTATTGCGGATTATAGTTGTGGTATGTCTTTTAATTGTTGTGTGCTATTCCTTTTTTCGAAGCAGGTATGATTCTGAACTTTTCAGAATGGGTTCTTGCTAAAATTGAGAGACTGAGGTTATCAAGCGGGGTTGCGTTTGCTGTTGTTTCACTTGGGGAGATCCGACGGAACCATCCCTGGCCGCTCTAGTTTTACATCGAGGAATACGATAACTCCAAAATGATCCAAAATGATTGTGGTGCCATGGGTCATGGCTTGTTTGCTTAGATGTAAGGTATATACTGTATATTATAATAGATAACTGCATTCTACTTAAAACTGTCTAGCAGGTCAGTTGCATGTGTGCGTTTTCACACCAGTTTCAATTGCCCTCAGTTTCGGGAACCGGCTCGTTGGAACGCAGGAATAGCCTCGTTTTGGAATCCTGGAGATTAGAAAATGGAGCGCGTGTCTTGTAGGTTCCATGTGTTTTCTTTTCTGGTCAGTCTTGGTTGTTGTTTGTTTTTTGTTCTGTTGTTTCCTTTCTCTCTGAGTGGTGGTGTTTCAGTTGTCTTTTTGCTGGTCGTGTTGTTGTCTTTTGTGTCTCCCCAGGACGGAATCTGAGGCTGCTTTTCAGCGCAGCATACCCTTGGTGACCCACCCGAGAGTAAAATTTCCAAAATAGCATACGTTTTGTGAGCTTGGGGTAAGATTTAGGAGAGGAAGGCACCATTCCAACGTAATTAGCATGCCTTTTTTAGTCGTGCGGAGCTTTTTTTTTTGCTCAAATCGTGTTGATATAGAGCGCATGTGTGATGTGGGCCGCGAGATTGAATGGCATATCCCGAGGACAAAATGTAGAAAAGGAAGGAGATAGGCCAATGTGGCACACCTTTTGTAGGCCACTCGAGGCTAAACATTTAGAGCAGGAGGGAGCAAGTCCAACGAAAAGAAAGGAATTTGTTCCTTTTCGAGGAGCTGCCCAACCCCGTCCCGCACCATGAAATCTGCACCTCTTTGAAGAGCGACACCCCTGTCCGAGCTTTTCTATCATTTTTTCATGTTTTTCTTGTGTCCGAAGGGCAGCTTTAGTGGCCGGTGGCTTAGCTTTAAACACCATCTTTGGCCCATGGGAGGGTGGAATAGCGACAAGTGAAGTGCCACGTGAACCAGGCCTGGCCACGCACTCGATTTTTGACCTAAGAATACTGAGTTGGAATGTACGAGGTGCCCTGAGTGTGCCCAGCCGTCAGGAAGCTCAAAACGACCGTATTTGGCAGCTGGTTACAGCCTTGCATACCTCCCAAGTCTCCATAGCCATCATCAGTGACCCATGCTTTGGCCCCGGCATGTGTTGGCCCCAAAGATCTGGCTATGAGTTTTTTGGTGAACGATCTGTCCGCAACAATACCGTGGCTCCCCTGATTTCTACAGACTTTCTTGACAAAGTCAGTGTGTTAGCTCAAGTGGGGGATGCGCGGGCAATGTGGCTCCATGTCCACATCCCGGTGGGCAATGCGCGTGGTTTCCTTCTCTTGGCAACTTATGCCCCTCCCCCCCAACCGTAGCCCGCTCGAGCGCCGTGAGTTTTTTGAGGCGCGAGCTGCTGACCTCCAAAAACTCCGCACTGAACGACTTTCTTCATCATTACCTATTATTATGGCAGGTGATTTGAACATCCATATAGCAGAACTTTGTGATAAAAAATGCACGACTGGAAAGACCCGTTGATCGAAAGATTGCCGCCATGATCGTCAGCACTGTGGGCATGAACCTGGTTTTGCGGAACCCTTCCCAGATCGCCACACATGATTCGGGTTCTGCCATTGATTTAGTCTTTTCTTCGCATGAAATCACACCGGTGGTTGAAGTCTTGCCTAAAACGGAATTTCTTTTTTCTTCTGATCATCGACCGCTCCTAATTACAGATGTTGGGAGTATACCCCATGCTGAACGGCAGACCTTTGGCAAGGCAAAGTGCCCTCCTTCCAGTGATGCTTGGAATGAGGCACTCTTGCATGTCCCCTTGTGCTTGGAGTATTTCTGTACATGGGCTCGGATGATTTTACGTGAAAATTTGCTCCGGGATTCATTAGTCGATGGGAAATGGCAACGTCTCCGGCAAGCAGTTGTCGACAGAGCCGTTTGGTGGCGCTCTGTTGTTCTTTGCTTAGCCGGTCACATGTGTGGTCTGGCCGTCACTGTCAAACCACATTCCTCAACCTATGGGTCCCAGGCCTTTCAGTTGGAAAAGTTTTTGCTTGAATGGTATGGTCCTCAGTGCCTGAGCAACACGATTGAATATGAGGAGTTTGTATCTCAGGTTGGTAGAGCTGGTAGCCCCTCTTTGGTTCGGCACTTTCTTGACTCCCACGCCACGGACCCCAGCAGGGCGCAGCTCTTTTGAGCATGTTGCTCAAACCAAGGGTTGCTACAGAGGTCAACTTTGTTGATGAAGCATCTGGCCGCAGGGCCTCTGATAGCACTGTTGTACAACTCTTGACGCAAGAAATCCTTGAGCGGCCTAGCCAGGCTCACCCAGGCATTCTGCCAGGCAGGAAGCGGCCACTGAACCTCACATGTTTTTTGCATTTGACGACGTCAAGCGGTGGGTGAGTGACATTTCTCGACATAAGGCTTCATTAAGATTTCCCAGAGCTGCTTTGGTAAATGAGAACCCCTTAGGGCTCGAACTCTGCTGGCTTTTACTCAATCTCTTTATGGCCCTGGGCCTCGTTCCATCGGCATGGATGCGCGAGGTGAGTTTCATCAGGAAACGGGCCCCCAGGTTATTACGGAGATGAAAAATCTTAGACCGATCAGCTATGCTGACGAACTTCAAACTCTATTTGATTTGGCCTGGTTGCATTCTTGCCGCCACCTTCTTGAAACCTACATTGGCCAAGAACAAGCCGGAGGCCGATTTGATAGTACTTTGGTTTCTTTAGGTATTTTGATTGCGCTGCAGACTCGTCGGAATTGGTCTCTACCAACATTTTGTCTCAAAGCTGATCTTCTCCAAGGTTACGATCTGGCATGGAAGTCAGCAATGTTACTTCACACCCGATGGGCTGGCATTCGTGGTTCGTTGTGGTTGTGTCTTGACTCCGCTGTACAGCAGGATCATTTTCGCATCCGTTACGGGCCACTGGTTGGCCCTGCCATTCTTTTAGTCACTGCTGGACTTGGACAAGGTGGCCGTCGTGCTGTTCATCTTTTTGGTGCCTTGGCCAGAGGTATCCCGGACCAGCTGCGCCAGAGTGTCATTGGTGTCTCCCTTGGCACCCCTCCCATTTTGTTGGATCGACTACGGCTGCACAGCAGAGCGTCCGGCGACGTTGAGGTTAATATCGTACCCTACTTAGTTCAGGCATGTCGTGGAACTGCCCCACTGTTACATTACTCTACCTTGCTTCGCTCCACGAATTTGCAGACAGCCTTGGTTGCCTTGGACGTCCTAGCCACCCACTCCTTGCTAGCTTTTCAATTTGTTGATGACGTTTTTGTTTTTCTATCCACGCTGTGGGGCATGAATCGAGTATGTAAGGCCTTGGAACAGTTTTTGCAATTGTGGAAACACAGGTTTGCTGCTGGCCCAAGCAAGGTGGCCTTGATGTTGGTTCCGGCTAGTCTACCTAGCTCCACTAACCTTCCCAGTCTCGATGGGGCTGCCATTGGTTTGGTTTCCTCTTTCAGTGTGCTTGGGCAAACCTTTGACAGCAATGTTAGCTTCGCACACTTGCTTGAAGTCACGTGCGCTCGTTTTATACAGCAAACCTCCCAGCTCTGTGTCTCCCTACGTGATCTAGGCATTGGGCTCCCTCACCACACTCAGCAGGTGGCCATAAGGGTTGAAAGCTCAGTTTTACATGGCACTGAACCCCTGGCCAGTGCAGCAGTAGGGTGGCTGCAGGTGTCTAAACGTCTTAATGCAGCGCACTATAGGGCCTTGAAAGCCATACTGGCTATTGAGGGCGTTTCCCTTGCCTCAGCAAACTATGCCCGGGTCTTGTGTGCTTTAGGTATTGACCTACGTCTTGCTACCAAGGTGGCTTTGCGGATCTTGTCCGCCAGGGCTAGGTTGCTTATGGTGCCCAGTCACAGTGCCATTCCCGGCATCCTGGAAGGAGCACGGCGAGTGCCCGGAGCGACGTGGTTAGATGATTCCTTGGCATTGGAGCACAGATTTGGGATCTCTGAGGACTTCATTGAGTTTGCTCAGCATGTGGCTCCAACGATCTCCATTAAACCTAAGGTGCACCTTTCGATACGGACGGCTGTACTTCCCAAACTCCTGCAATTTGATCGCGACTGGCTTGCATCGCAGAAGCAAAATTTATTTCCTTGGCTGCATGATGCTTCTTTGGAGAAGAAAGTCTTGGCGATACTTGCATCGGCCCACTGGAGTAAACGTGAGTGGCTTTATACTCGAGCTTGGTACCTCTCCCGCCTTTCTGGGCAAGTTCCCTTTGGTGTGTTTGGCCACCAAAGCTTTGACGTGGATCTCGGCTGCCCTCACTGTAATCACCCACTTACTTTGGCCCATCTGCTCCATCGGTGCACGGCCGTGGTCTCCCATGCTTTGCGCTGGGAGTGGTGGCTTGAACCGGTGCTTGAGTTGGAGCCTCTGCATCAGAAGATCCTCCACGTTGGTCGCTGTACTGCTCAGGTTCATGCGGCTTTGAAAAAATTGCGACCTCAGGTGCATTACGACGTGTCGCGGGTTTGCTCTCTTTAGATTAAGCTGTTTTTTTTAGTGAAGGCAGCATGTTTGCAGCGTTTTTGGCGCCCACATGTGCTCTGGTTGAGGCCCTTTGTTTTTTCCTTTTCATCTTCATCTCCACCACTCCGGCCATGTTTGGCGCAAGTGGAAAAAAATGCTGCGAGGCACCATCTGACGTGTGCCACCCCAGCCGCCCGCCATAGGGCGTCCACCTAACAGAGCCTAACAGAGCTTGTCCAAAACGAGAAAAACCTTGCGGGTGTGTGTGTGTGTGTGTGTTCTCCAAAATGATCCTAATCACGTGCTCCAAAATGATCCTCTTCCCGCTCAGTTTCTAAGACTGATATGGAAAACCTGGAATTGTTTGGAGGTCTAGAAATGCAGAGGTCTAGGGGTCTTGAGATCCAGAGAGATCTAAAGGAAAGGCCGACATGGAGGTCTAGAGTTTGAGAGGTCCAGAGGTCTAAAAATCCAGAGGTCGAGGTCTTGAGATCCAAATGATCTAGAGGTCTAGGGATATGGATTCTATAAGGGGTCTAGAGATCGACTTGCAAGTTTAGAGTTCTAGAGATTTGGAGGCCTAGAGACCTAGAGGTCTAGAGTAGAAACCTAGAGGTCTAGAGCTCTAGAGATGCAGAGGTCTAGAGGCAGAGAGATCGTCCAGAGAAGACCAGGTGGTCGAGAATGATCCGAAATCTGGTATTTTTGAGCCAAAAAGTACCTAAGACCCTTGGAAGCTCATGGGAGATCTAGAGGTGGAACCCAGATTTCTAGAGGTTGAGATAGACGTCTAGAGATCTTGGAGCCAAACTCTAGGGGTCTATAGGTCTTCGGGCTCCAGGTCTTGAGATCCAGACAGTTCTAGCAGTCTGGAAAGATCCGCGCGGGCCGAGATTGAGGTCTAAAGGTGGAGACCTAGAGAATCATAGATCCGAAGTCTTGAGATTGAGATGACGAAATCTGCACATCAGTCTGCACATTGAAGTAGAACCGCTCCGATCTCATGCACCTGTCGACACGAAAGCTTTGAACCACCAAAACACGAGGTTTCCCTTGCGTCTGCCACCAAAAGTGACACCAAGTCCAAACATGCACAAGGCACCACAACGAGCGCGGTCGAAGAATGCACCCGCTCGAGACCAGCAGATTCTGCACGCCTGCGCATGCAGTCGAAATGCATGTTGAAGATCTTGAGGTGAATATGCACCATAAATAGCAGCGGATTAGCCGGAACGCCACCTCGTTCAGACACCGACACCGGCCTTAGCTCTTACCGTAAGAGCCCGTAGTGTGACCACACTGTTCGGGGAACTACCTGTTGGAAGCAGTGCTCTACGATTTTTTCTGGATTCGTTTCTTTTTTACGTGTCTTTTCAGACGTTGTAGTTTGCTTGATTTATGTTGATTTGCCGTCACCCGCTCAATCTTTGGAATTTCTAGGGAGGTTTCTTAGGAATTTGTGGTCTTCCGAACCCGCGAAGGATAAGGAGGCCAACTACGAAGTACAGATGTTTGAGAAATGCCTGTACCAAGTGTCTGATGGGTCTGATGGGCGACCTGGATTCCGGTCAACGATGGACACCGCGCAGGTCTCCGCCCTGGAAGACTCCTTGCAATCTGTGGAGGATGGGGGCATGCTCACCACTGATGAGGACGGGGAAGCAACCGGGGGTGGAGGGGATGGATTTTGAAAGGATTCAATTACCCTTCCTGGAACTAACATGGAAGTCGAAGGCACAACCGGTTTGGTATGCGGAACATGGTCATCCTTGCAACCATGCCATCCACATAGGTATGATAAGTTCAGGGAGGGTGAACATGCTTCAGGGTTTCTGCGCCACTGACGCCATCGGAAGTTTTGGACATCGACCACCAGGGCTTCCCACTGGAGTTTGTTGGGATAAGCATGGATAAGTGATCAGGTGGTTGCGCACCAGTTCTTGGGTGTAGCTGCTACATGTTCTTAAGACATATATATATATATATGGAAATAATGGTTTCATGCTGTTTGCACCCGTAAAGGTCCCATGAGTGGATGGGAAGTGAAGTTCTATGGGGTGCCTCATGGCCCCATGAGGCCCCCTGCATGTTCTGTGAGCTGATTCTGTCAAGCTTCGCAGTTGCCGGCCCTGGTGGTTCAACACCAGCCCTGATGCAGTCTGCAGCACTGGATGTTTGCCCAAACTTGCACTCCAGATGTGTTCTGTCAGTGTGATCTCGGCGGTGTCAGGTGAGACACTTGTTGTTCTGGATGAATGTGAGGGCAAAAGTGCCAAAGAAATCAAGCAATCATTGGCCTCTCAGATCGGAGTTTGCAGATTCCGGCAGAGACTCTTCGACTTCCATGACGTGACCCACGAGATTCCAGATGATGAGGTCTTCACCGAGGTTTGGGTCAAGGTCCAGCTGTTGGTCTTGGACTTTTGGCGCCCGGATTTGGAGGAAGACCACAAGATGATGCTTGCATCCAGAAACAATGATTTCACAGCACTTGAGCGTTTGCTTCTATGGCCTCGAAACCCCAACGTGACAGATGGAGATGGCCTAACACCTTTGCACCACGCAGCCTCGAACGGACATGCGCGAGCTTTGCACCTGTTGCTTGAAGCGGGGGCATCAAAAGATGCCCGTGACACACGGGCTCCAGGTTGGACTCCACTGCTTTTTGCAGCTTCAGATGGCCATTTGGATTGCGTTGGTTTGCTGATTGAGGCTCGGTCTGACATCAACAAAGCCAGCACAGACTGTGGAGCAACCCCTTTGTTCACCTCTGCTGAGTTTGGCCAGGTTGAAGTTGTTCGCTTGCTAATTGAGGCT